TTTGTTAATAGCTGAAATTTTTTCAGGATAGTGAACGTTTCACTCCTCATTTAAGGTTGGTGGAGTTTATGGCGGTGGCAGGACTCGAAGCCCTGACCTCTGTCTCACCCAAACCCTAAAACTTGAAACCAATCATTAAACCTCAAGCCCAATTTTTCGCAATAAGTAATAGGTTAGACTAATTGTTTATTAAAAATTAAAGATTCGATTTTTTTCAGATGAAAGTAAGCACCTTTCCTTATTAAGGAGCGCGACCCAATGAACTGGTGGAGTTCAGCTCTCATGCTGTTTTCAATAGCTTTTTTTGAAAGTAGGCAATGGATGCTGTTTTCAATAGCTTTTCCTTCATTTTCAGCTTTTTCTTGTACTAAACATCAAGCGTCATGTTTTTGGCAATGATGATTCATGATTGATGCAACAATTATCAATTCAAAACCTCAAATTTTATCCACTTATATATCTATGGTGTTATAAATTAAATTTAAGATTTAATTTTCGAGCCATTATTTAGATAAATTAAGTTTTTTTAATATATTATATTTACATAAAATATATATTTAAAATATCACAAAATTTTTTTTATCGAAATGGGTGAAATTTGACATGAAATATTTTGACAATAGATAAAACAAAAAATCAATCATCAATTCATTAAAATTCTCAACTGTCATTATTTCCAGAGATTAGGATTATAGACTACCATATAGAAAGAAGGTGTATGGAAAAAGAAGGTATAACAACCGCTAAGTAACCCACAAAAAAGACCACGATTGCAAGCTACGTTAAATCCTCTTCACTTCCCTTCTACACGATGTCCCACTCCTCCCAACTCCGACCAGAAACCACCCTCCCCCTGAAAGCTCCCTCTCATCTTCTTCCAACCAAACCCAGCACCCTCTATTCCTTTGCCTCAAAGCTTCACTCTTCATCTCACCCACATACGTTTAGTAATTTCTACAAAGAATTGGAGGTCATCCCCTGGTGTTTAAATGTCTCAACCGGAAATTGAAGTTGGTTGAATCTGTTCTGCTCTTTTCATGGCATCTCAAGGCAGCAACTTACCCATTAACAGTGTGCAGTTGGAGATTGTAAGTATGTTTAGTCTTGTTTTGCTTCATTTCATGATTTAATTTTATACTGTTCCTGTTGTGTTTCTTAACTCACATTGGTTTGTCCTGTTTGATTCTTTTTCAGAGAAATAAGAAGCTAAGTGGTCAGAAAAAGAGAGAAGCTTTAGAAAGAGAGGTACAGGGTTATGCATTATATGTTTTATTTACTGGCATGTATATACTGGTGATTTGGTACTGCATTTATGAGAAAGTATTGAAAACATGTAAAGATGGGATCATTTTTTGTGTCCTTTCATTGAGAAAAGTAGTTAAACAGAGAAAAGTTCTAATCTTTTTGTTAAAAAGGCAATGAGCAAATTCTTGCTAAAAAGGAAGAACCATTCCTTCTTTTCCCATTGCTGTGGACTCTATGGTTGAAAATATTGAGAATTCTGGTTCAATTTCCAAAAAACCATGGGAAAAAAAATATTGGCATTCTTGTAGTAATATAATATATTTTATAATATGACTTCAATTTTTGTTTGGTGGAAAATTGAAGATTTAAGGGACTTTTCATGTTATGTATAGGTTTCAATGCTTCAGAAAATGCTGCATCAAGAGGAAAAAATGCATGAGATTTTGGAACAAGTGCAAGATAAACGTGAAGGGTCTGCCATTTCTATCCCCAATTCCCTCCCTCCGAAGGTAAATTAACCATTTTCCTCCATCCTTCTCTTTATACATTTGCAAACAAATTTTGGAAAGACATGCGTGATTTTAAAGGATAATAGAGAAGTTTAATTTGGAGAATTTCTTGGATTGGCTAAAGAAGTTTTACCCTCTTTGATTAAGTATAGCTGTAGGTGTCTGGTCACCGCTAAATGCTAATTGAAGTTTAATCTTGTCAGGAGGGGAAATAAAATGATCAGAAAGTACTGGTGCATCCCAGCAATTTCTTTTGCTCTTGTTGATATTTGATACATACTGTGAAAGTTGAACTCAAATTTCAACTGATAACATCAATGTTCGTTGAAAAATTAATATAGTTAATTAACATAAGCTTTTCAGATGGTAACATCTCTTGATGCAAATTTAAATTAACATACAATTCATGACCAATAAATTGTCAGTGAATCACACTAGGTATTTGTTGTCATTAATTTTGCAGGTGAAAGAGCTCCTAGCAGAGTTAGCGATGGTTGATGGGGAGATAGCTCGTCTAGAAAGTCAAATTAGCCAGCTTCAAGAGACTGTGAAACAAGAACAGGAAGCAACCAAAGAAGCAAAATCAAAACAGCAGCAACCTGCAATTCCAAGTAACCAATTTCCAGGCTTTCCATCTCCAACGCCTCTTCAAAACCCCTTGATCAAGCAAGGTGGGCAAGAAAAGATGGCATTTGAGACAAAGGCATTGCATTTCATAAGTAAAGCTATCAAAGGTGATTACACTCTTAGTGACTTCAGGAGTACTGTAAATGAGAGAACTGTGAGGGGATTTTCTGATCAGAAAGAAAATCAGTTTCAAGAGGAAGCTAAATTCCAAGAGAGGGTTCCGAGAAAAAGTGGATTGCTGAAACCACCATCACCCTTCAGAGACCTTAGACATTCATCACCTAAGGTAATGCTGCAAATTTCATCTTCTGATATTCAAAAATTATAATGAACTGAGATTCAAGTCCCATTAATTTCAGTACCTTAGCCTAGTTCTTTGTCATGCATTGAAGTTCTGTTCATTTGATGAAGAATTTTCATTACCTGAATTTCCTGATAACTCTGTTTCAGCCTAGGGAACGTATTCCAGAGAATTCAATTGACATGCCACCAAGATCTTTATCTGGTGTAATTCTATCTGAAGAGGACAGTCAGAACCTGCATCCCAACAAGCTATCTGAGAATATCATGAAGTGTTTGAATTTCATATACGTCAGGCTGCTAAGAACATCAAGAGCAATGGAGCTGGAGAAGTCAGGCCCAATTTCTAGATCTGTGCACTCTTCTTTAAGTTCCAGAAGCTTCAGAGTGGAGAACAGCTCAAACTCAAAATCAAGTCTGCTGTTGCAGAAGGAATCAAGGCAACAAGACCCTTATGGCATCTTTGACTTGGAAGAGTCCATTCCGAGGGACATTGGCCCATACAAAAACCTTGTGATATTCACATCAAGCTCCATGGACCAGAAATGCATTGCAAGTTCTAGTTCCATTCCTTTGCTAAGGAAGTTAAGGTATGATATGTTGCAGAATTTGTCAGAAGATGAAGAGATGAAAAGTAAAAATCTGCTTACATATTTCCTTGTCTTTGCCTGTGCAGGGTGTTAATGAACAGTCTTCAAACAGTGGACCTGAAAGCTCTGAATTATCAACAGAAGTTAGCATTCTGGATCAACATGTACAATGCTTGTATCATGCATGTAGTATGGAAATAAACCCAATTTCTATCTTTTTCTTTATGCTTGTATCAGGACTAAAGTTACTTGAACGCCCCCTCATTGTGGTTCAGGGATATCTCCAGTATGGGGTGCCTAATTCTCCTGAAAAATTCCTTACCTTGATGAACAAGGTACATCATCAAGAACTCAAAGTGTCCATTGATAGTTAATACTGAATTTCTTACGAGGTTATGGTTCTTTTAATCAATTTTTAGGCAACTCTCAACGTAGGAGGGAACATAATCAGTGCTCAAGCAATAGAACACTACATCCTAAGGAAGCAGGGAGCACCTTCTAATGCAAAAGAGAAGGAAGACAAAGAAGCCATTGTCCGGAAACTCTACGGACTTGAATCAATGGATCCTAACGTAGCATTCGCTCTGTGTTGTGGAACCCGTTCATCTCCTGCAGTAAGAACACAGAAAACTCCAAACTCAAGTGCTCATACTGATGTGAGAATTTTGTTTAAGATATGTTTCATTTTGGTCATGCACAGGTAAGAATCTACACAGCTGAAGGCATTGTGTCTGAGCTGGAGAGATCAAAGCTAGAGTACCTACAAGCATCAGTGGTGGTGACCAGCACGAAGAAAATCGCGTTTCCAGAGCAGCTTCTCCGGAGCATGCTTGATTATGCAACGGATATAAATTCACTGGTGCAGTGGGTTTGCCACCAGTTACCTACATCCGGATCACTCAGGAAATCAATGGTGGATTGTTTTAGGAGCCATAACAGTGGCAAGATAACAATCAATGTTGAGAAGATACCTTATGACTTTGAGTTCCAGTATCTGTTGGCAATGTAAACAAAAAATACTACTATAGTTTTCCTTTGTTTGGTATGAAAGAACATGAAAGGAAGAGAATATTTGGAATGTCATGATAATTCATTTTTTGAATAATAATAAAACTATACTCGTATACTTTTTTGGGTACGGAACCTGAAATTCTCCAAAATCAATGTCAAATCTAGCCCCATAAATAATTTAAAACAAAATTTGTTTATATATATAATATGTGCTTCAAATCATTGGTAAGGGGTGCTCTCTCTTTCATCTATGGTTATTGTTTTACACTTCGATAGATTTTTTTTCTTTTTAACATGAAAAATTATGAGTGATGACAGAATTTTTTAAGTAATTGATAAAAATTAAATTTTTAATTAATTAAATTTAAATATTAAAATTTAAGAATGGATCACCGATTCACAATCGAATAGAATTAAATCATTTTCTCTTATTAATATTAACCCATTTCTTTGTAGGTTTATTTTATAGACCAAGCAGAATACACTCTCGGCTCATTAACCAACAATCGATCAAAATTACGTTGCTTTTATAGACAAAGCCCAATGCACTCTGCGCCCATTGACCCACTGAAA